ATATTTGTATATAATTCATTGATCAGTAATATTGATTGTTGGATGATTGTTTTGTAGAGTTTATCAAAATGAGAAGAGAAGGGTTGAATGATTTCATTGTTAAAATCCTCACTCATCCAGGAGCAATTGATCAGTAAGTTGTGTAATGAAGTTCTCTTTACTCCGTCCATGATAACTCATGAAGACTTAATCACAATAAGATACATTACTATACACTCAAAAGATTAGCTTCACTTACTTGTCACCATTCACTGTAATCCTCATATTGATGGTCAATGTCCAACAAATGAAGCATGTATATTATGAACTGCTTTGATCAGCAATGATTTGTGTTCTTATTAACATGAACTGTTTGATTGATAAACACCAAGAGCCACAATAGCTGTGACTTCATACTGTTTTCTAACATTACTATTTCCTTAAGAAACCTCTGTGGTTCAAAACTAGAATTCTTTGCATATGTAAATCAGTGGCATGCCTATCAAAGTTAGCGGGTCTGATTTCAGTTGACCTGTACAAGACATGAATGCACGTCTTCTTGAAAGTTTTGCGTGTTTGCTCATGTATGTGTCTTGTCTTTTATCTTTGTTCACAATTATTGGCAGCTAAAGACTTATATAATATATATTTGTTATATTTTAAAAGATCTTAGTAAGATATAGATTTAGATAAATAATGTCAGTATACATGTAGTTAGTTTCTAATTTAGAGAATTTTCATCAAATTAGTTTTAACCAGACAAATGTCATACCAAATGTGATTTAAAATAATCAGTGATTGTTTGCTTTATTGTACATGAGATTTTGTGGTGTATTTGTAGCGATTATTGTTTTCACAAAGTATTTTATTTGTCCATGCAGATGTAAAATGTCATTTCCTGGTTTTGTTTCTAGTGGCACATAATTGATCCCTGCTCAAATTGGCTTGAGATTTCTTATAATATGTTGATGGCAATGATAGTGATTACAATGACTAATATAATCATTTTCTTTTCCACAGTCCTGATGTAAGAGAATTTCTCTCACTTGATAACCCTAAAAATGCAGAAATCAATGATGAGGATCCTGGAAAGGATGATGCAGAGGCTTCTTCAGCTGTAAGTGTAGTACGATGATGTCAATCAGGCAATCATCCATTCACTTATTCAAATAAATATTCAACTAATTAATCAACCAATCAAATAGACAATCAAGCAGTCAAGCAACCAACCAATCCATCAATCTCATCAATCAAACAACCAATCAACCAATCAATCAATCAATCAATCAACCAACCCACCTAATCAATCAAGCAGTCAATCAATCAATCAACCAATTTATCAATCAAGCAAGCAAGCAAGCAAGGAAGCAGTCAGTCAAGCAGTCAATCAACCAGTCCAATGTTTTAAGTGTGTTGAGTTTTTGTATATAAATTGGTTTTTATTTTCTAGAGTAAAGAAATAGAGAAAATGGACCTGGGAGAATCTCACAATCCTAAGTATGCACTTAATATTTAACTATCAAATTATATGAAGTATTTTCAGATGTAGCCTGATTTTCAGCAGATGTTTACTCATAAACACCGCCTGAGAAAGAGTGCATGATTTTGTGTTCTCTGTAAACCTAGATTTGAGTACACTCTCTGATTGGTTCATTCTTACATGTATTTTGATTGACTAGAGATACATCGTCCCAGGGCCTTCTCAGCTGTCAAAACAATGTTGTGCTTTTTATCGYGTGTCTTGCACCTCACTTGACCTTCTCGTTCTTGCTATTTTTGCCTTCTTGTCAATTGAAATAATTTGGTTTATGCTCTCCACAAGGCATTAAGTACAATGATTGATATCTGTTTGAAGGAAAGTCACAATTCAATGTAATTTTGATTTGAAAAGCACATCTGTGACCATCTGTCCATGACCTGAGGAAATTAGTATTTGCAAGCCRATTACTGTTGATGTGGTTGTTTTATGATATAGGAAAATATAGACCAAGCTGGAAAATATGTACACTTCATCCATGAGAGCTACTACAAGTAGTGATATTTTAGGATGAAGATTCATAAACATTCTCATGTTCAACAGCAATTCTTCATTTGCTCTGTTGTGGTTCTGTCTATTTACCTGTACTCCAATTCAAAGTCAAAGTCAAACTCATTTTAAGTTTTCAAATATAAGAGTAAGAGATCAGCTTTCARCTTTTAAATTGTTTATTCTGTCTACACGTTTAAAACAATGGAAAAACGACTTTTGGCCAATCAGGAACACCCTTTAAACAACCAATCATCATCAGGTAGCAAATCAGGGGGTCCCAGAACACAATATTATGCACTGATGCACAGATGKTTATTATTATATAGAGAATAAACCAGAAGACCGAGAAAAACGATTTGTTGAATACTCGTTGACCATTTCAAAGTGACCAGTTAGAGGGTGGTTTTGGTTTTGACTGTCATTGACTCTTTTTAAAATTAGAACAATAATTTTTAAACAATGAATTTCTATTTTATAGAGCTAAACCAAGTGACTTCTTGTTCCTCAAAGTTATTGGCAAAGGCAGCTTTGGAAAGGTATCATAGTTACAGAGTTTGCAAGCATTTGAAGGCAATATTGCAGTGTGCTTGATTACAGTTTGATATTTTGACACTGATGATTGCATGATGATATTTATTACAATAATATTGTGATTAGTTATTAATAAACTATTAATGAATTATATTTTGTTGTTGATTAAGGTAAATTAAGCTGTTTCTTAATCATCTTAAATATCAGAGAAGAAAATTCATTCTAACATAGTTTCTGTTCATGTCAGGTTTTTCTAGCTAAAAACAAACAAGAAGATAAATTCTATGCCATTAAAGTTCTCACTAAATCTGCAATACGAAAAAGAAATGAGGTAAGAAAGACCTTGCATTTTTCATGTTTTGTTCCATAAGTTCCCTTCCTTTTGTTGTGCTTCCTGTTCCACCTAAAATGGACTGGAAATGATTGACAGGTAGCATAACAAAGGAGAAACTGGCTTCCATTAAAATATTGATCTTTTGATTTGTTTTTCAGGCAAAACACATAATGGCTGAAAGAAATGTCCTTGTTCAAAATGTAACCCATCCTTTCTTGGTGGTAAGTATTGCWTRTACAATGATGTGAGGTYATYAATAATGGTGTCAAAAGCCTAATGTCTTTTCCATTGCTGTACATTGAATGCATCAAGTTCTGATATAATTTGTTTCTTCATCAGGGACTACACTACTCTTTCCAAACTAAAGATAAGCTGTATTTTGTTTTAGACTATGTCAATGGTGGTGAGGTWAGTYTTTTYTTATTAATTATTTGGRCATGAACAGTGGGGGATGTTCAGTTTAGTTTTTATGTGTTTCTTGTGGTTTCAAGACTTGGTGAAGAGGATGAWTGACTGCAAAATTGCTTGTGTTTTTTCTGCACTACATATGTATGTCTTATTGATTACATCTTTTTATTTTCTGTTTTTATGATCATTTTGTTTCGTTCTATTCCCAGTTATTCTTTCACTTGCAACGGGAACGATATTTCCCTGAATCAAGGTAAGTTCATATCTCATATAGTACACCTACCGTATTTACTCGAATAAACGCCGCCCCCCGAATAGACGCCGCCCTCAAATAGATGCCGCACTTAAAGCTCAAAATATTGATAGGCGGCGCCCCCTAATAGACGACGCATCTGGGTGCGGCGTCAATTTGAGGATATAATGATACCAGCAATGGGAATATATTTTCTTTAGAACATTTTTTATTTCGAAGTGACTGTACTTTTTTGCTCTCAGTAGCTGTTAGATTCCGACCACGAGGAGGACATTAATGTTGAAATAAAAGTTTAACTCTGGTTAAAATCATAAATTGAATAGACAAAATAAACACGACATTTATATATCGAAATTCGTTACTCTTTGTTAGTAAAAAGATACAATATAAAGTACGGTATGTAGTACTGAATAAAGTGTTTTTTAATAAACGCCGCCCTCGAATAAACGCCGCAGCTGGATCGTGAAAAATGAAAAAAACGCCGCGGCGTCTATTTGAGTAAATACGATAATTGGAAAACGTTGTCAGGTTGAGAATAGTCACATCATCAAAATTGAGACCGAAAGAAGGCATGGGAAGTCTTTACTTTAAAATTCTAGTACAGCCCTTGTGTCTAGATTTAAGAAAATAAGGAATAACTAATCAATTTGACCGGAATTTTGAGAATAGTCATATTGACATTTTTTGTCTTTTCGTGAGAGAGAAAGGTGGAGAGAGAAGCGCCATCTTATTAAACAAGAAATTTGAATAATTGTTTGTTCTTTCAGAGCACGATTTTATGCGGCTGAAATTGCCTCTGCGATCGGACATATGCATTCTCTTAAAATCATATATCGAGATTTAAAACCGGAAAACATCTTGTTGGATTCCAAGGTAAATACAAAGTTRGTTCCTGTTGAATGTCGGGATGCCAACGGGTAAGGGTGTGGCTGCAACAATCATTGCTAACTTACTCCGTTTTTGGGATAAAATACTGAATTGAAAATGATTAAGAAAATAAGCTTGGGCAATTTATCTYCAAATTATGTTATCAATCAAAATTGAATACTTTTAAATTGTTAGGGTCATATAGTCCTAACGGACTTYGGACTGTGTAAAGAAGGCATTGAAAAAAAAGGAACAACATCAACATTCTGCGGTACTCCAGAGGTGTGTTTGTGTTCRTGGTTCCTTAATGCGTTATTTAGTATAGTAATTGTACAATGTAGGTTTATGTAATGACAGAAACTAGTGTGTAATCATTCCGGCTAAGTTTATATGGATGAACTTTTCAAAATCATATCAAGCTTGTGTATTTCAGGAACTTATTAAGACGCCTCATTTTCCTACAGATGTTTACTAACAGTAGTTTTGTATTTTCTTATTTTGTTGAATGCCTAGTATCTGGCACCAGAAGTACTACGTAAACAAGATTACGATAAATCTGTGGATTGGTGGTGCTTAGGTGCAGTTCTGTATGAAATGATGTATGGATTGGTATGTATTTCATGATCATCTAGTGCTGCCATTACCTGAATAAAACAATGTTGTATCGTTTGTTCATGATCATCTAGTGCTGTCATAAACCGAATAAAACATTTTCTGTGTTGTTTGTTCTCAGCCTCCTTTCTATAGCCGTGACACAGCGGAGATGTATGATAATATTCTGTACAAGCCATTACGTCTAAGAACTAACATCTCACAAAGTGCTCGCAATATTCTGGAGCAGGTATATTATATCCTTTAGGCCGATACTTTTCAACGGGTTTTACTGACATTCATCCTGTATATTTAGTTGTTACAGAAAGAGAAGACGAAGAGATTAGGGTTTGCAGAAAGCGACTTTGTAAGTATGGCATATTTGTTGACATATTTGTATGATTTATAATATTTGTTCGTTGTTTTTAGGAGGAAATCAAGACTCATCCTTTCTTCAGGAACATTAACTGGGAATTCTTGGTGGAAAAGAAGATTGAACCACCTTACAACCCAAATGTGGTGCGTGTTGTGTTGCGTTGCGTTGCGTTGCGTTGCGTTGCGTTGCGTTGCGTTGCGTTGCGTTGCGTTGCGTTGTGTTATGTGACCATACTAACAATGCAATGCCCCAATTCTTTTATTTTTACTGACTATTTTGGTTTTATTTTACTACGTTATTCATATATTCATTATATTTCAGAGTGGTCAGCTGGATCTCAAGCATTTCGATCCAGAATTCGTCCGAGAACCAGTACCAGGTAAGGATTAGCAAAACCAGCTTCACTTTCCAATAAAAAATACCCTTATTTTGGAGCCATCTTCCGTTCACTCGGACAACCGCAGCACCTGTAGTGACATAGTGACTCTTGTTCGTTGCAGGTTCAGTTGGGAAATCAGCAGATTCCAATTTTGTTAGTGCAAGTGTCGACGATCCTGATGATGCATTTGTTGGTTTTACTTATGTTCCACCATCAGAAGAAACCCTCCATGATTAACCTTTCGATTATAATGTTCAAATTGTAGCATGGGTTTCTTTCTCTGCGTCCTTCCGGTCGGTTTTTAAGCCCGATACACGTTAATCCAAAGTTAACCCGTAGGAATTCAGTGAGGTTAACGTTCATCGAGCTTGAACAGCTCGTGCCTGGACTCTGTTATTGGTTGCAGGATGGAATTCAAATATGATTGGAAAGGCTGATTTACAGTAGCCACACTTTAGACCCTGTTTACATGAGATAGGGTGCCCCTAGTGGTAGAGCCAAAATCCTTTGTTTCAAATCCTCCAGGGAAAAGAAAACAAAAGAGCTAGCCCTACCACGTAGAGGCACCCTATCTCATGTAAACAGGGACTTAGTGTGTAACAAGCGATYATGTTATCACAATTCTCGTGAAAACTGCTTTTGGTTGTGAAAACGTWGCCTGCTTATCCAGGCGTTCCTAGCCGCTCGCAAACTCTTCCGAACGCCTGGTTACGCAGACTAGTGAAGACCCTCTAATCGTATCCCGCATGTTGAAAGCAAATTACGTGCTAACGTCGTTACTGTAGATCAGACACCATATAAGTGTAAGGTTGTCCCATCAAGCTACTTATGGCTTTGTCTCCTTGGCATCCGTCTTAGGATCGTTAGTGATCATAAAAACGGATGCAAAGGAGACCGCTGCGCTCATTATGTTTGCATGTAACAATTGACAACGCTACTAACAGTAACAGCTTGATTCATACTAATTTTTTTGTCAAATGGAATGCTAGTCATGATACCATAGCTCAGCAATACAACCTTGATTTAATGCAAATCGTACAAAAAATCTTTTGAAAATTATTTCCATTAAATCATAAAATCGTTTGAATGTAATTTCTCGTCTTTATTGGATAGCTTATATGCCTTACCAAATAACAAAACCCTCAAAGCCCAATGGCAATGATGCCCTCCAAAAACCCTTCCACATGCAGGGCAGAACTCCAAATGCGCGAAGCCCTCGCAGCTGAATCTAACAAACGGCGCTGGCCAGGTCACAAAAACATTTTATTAGTCTAACAAACTCAATAGTTACCAAACTTCCGAAAATCCAGACTTGAAWGGGATTCTCGTTTAAATCGCTGATTACCCTCTAATGAAAGCATCGCCATATCAAGAAATGGAACCCAGACCTGATTTCTTCTTTCCCATTTCTTTGCCTCTTATTTTCTACATTCGATAGCATGCGTAACGGCTTGGTGGGATTCCAGGGGGGTACTCGCATATTTGCTATACGGGGACGTGCCGCTGGCCAGGGTATGATTTTTGACCTTTTGGACAGGGTATACATTTCACCCGAAATTGTCTTAAGCAGGCTCTACAATTTAAATAMAAGACCGATATAATTTTTTTGTGCCTTAATACCGTAGAAATAGTAGAATACCGTTTCGCTGTAACAGGATTAACGTGTTATCAATAACTTCTTGTCTTTGATGGCTGTCAGTTTAATTGCAGTTTTGATGATGTGGCGTAGATAGCGATTCCTTATTTTTCCGATTTGTCTTGAACAGGGTATGGATTTTCACTTTCTAACTGTCTTAAACAGGGCCAACGGGATGGGATTGGGGGGAACATTCTCCGCTTGGCCCAACCTAGGGTAGCTACGCAAAATTAAAAATAAATATTCGCGCAAAATTAAAAAAAAAATAAATTCTACGACTCATAATTTTTTTAATATATATACCATTTCCCTTTAGAATATTAAAATAACTACACAATTCATTTCTAGTATCGAAGCCCGCCTTTCAAATTTTCTAAAATTGTTTTTTAATCAATCGCTCTAATTTCTTGATTCGACTGGATTCTGGTTCTGGTGGAATCTGTGACGCTGTACCGACAACCTCTCCTCCCATGGAGGGTGGGGATGGTAGACGAGAACGAAATAAATCTAGCATCGTGTGCTGCTCACTGCGCTTCAGACCCTGAAAATAGACACAAATAATATTGTAACTTTCTCCTTCATATCTGCGGATGTCGGGCTGTCTTCAGTTGACTGCTGTGCATTCTTTAAAACAATATTCTGAACTACACTTAATCACACCTGCAGCCAATAGCATAATGGAGCGAGCATATACTAAAACTTATTGTCTCGGCACAGCGAATGTCAAAAGGTAGACAGCTTGTAACCAAGTAGAAACCGCCAGTCTCAGCTGGTAGTGGCCATGATGCATCATGGGAGTGCAAGTGATCGTTTTGTTCAAAAAGTTTCATCCTTCGTTATTCATTGTAGATTACATTATTGTACAGTAAATTTTGCAATTTCTTTCGAATCAATGAATTACATAAACACTGTCTTCAATAACAAAGAAAACTGAGTAAGCAACCTCACTGACTGGCGCACTTTGCTGGGTAGGGACTACAAGACCTTCATACAATCGATGAACAATCATACCTTCATGTCGAGAAGTTTCTGAAAATTGGAGGTGTCTGTATCTGCGAGAAGTTTGATGTAATTATCGACGAAGCCAACAGCAGGATCATGTGGTGACATCACTACCTGAACATTACAAAGCAGTCAGAATCTCATACGACTCTTAGCTAGACAATCCCAATTATTGGTGAAATTGTCCAACAACTTTGTATGCTGAACGCATAATTCACACAACTGGGACGTCAAACCAACATCTATATTTTTTATCATGATGAATAGGGTGTGCCCAGGGAATTATTAGTTATTCAGGATTGACCAAAAGTAACTTTCAAGGATTCAGCATAAGGCATGGTTTACAATAAGGCTACGCTTACTAAGAAACCAGAAAAAGAACAGAATACTTGCCATAATTCAGACTCTCTTTTGACAAGTAAAAATAACAAATGAAATTCGAAAACTGAGTACGAAGGGCAAGAAGAAACAAGGTTAAGGCCGGAACTTTATGATGTACTTCTATTAAAAACAAGTAGAGTAGCATAATACCTTTAGAATCATCTCTGCTTTTGACATTCCTTTTCCAACTACTTTGGTGTAACTAATAACAAAACAAAAAA